CTCAGGTGTATGTGGCTGCTGCCTTAGCCACTTGAGCCACAGGGGCTGAGCCAAAAGTTTCTTAAAATCAGCAGGACATCATACAAATACAAGTGCTTATTGCCATTACTAGGCAGTTTACTGAGCAGGTGTCCCCCTGGAGATGTCTGTTCATTGTTTATCACCTAACTGAACTGCTGGATGGCTCCTGTTCCACCAGGGTGAGATGAATACCTCTTAGACCCCAGCTGAGTGTGGACATGAATGTTAGGCTTTTGGGGAACACTAGCCTAACCCAACCTAATGACCAATTCTAGGAAACTCCTGCACATGCTCAGAAAAGCTCTGCTTTCTGGCCAGCCTCCTCCATCATTCAAACCCCTGCCCTTCGCCATCTCCCAGGGGATCTGAGCACCACCCCCACCTTACCCCAGGCTCTGCTGCAGAGCAGCCACTGGGAGGCCAGGCCCAGGGATGCTGGGGGTCGTGACATGTCCCCTCTTGGGAGAACTCACCGGGAGAGGGGCTTTCTGGTTGGAGCACACCCCCTTCTGCTGCCTCCCCCTCTTTAGGTGAGTCCTTGCTGTCCGGAGCCCTAAGCTGGGTGTGGGAGAAGAGCTGCAGGACAAAGCCAGGGGGGAAGCTGCCATCGGTGAAGTGTCGGACCTCGGCTGGTGCTGCGAAATCCTCTGTGGGCGACTCAGGTGATGGGGGGTCTGAGAGGGAGGATACAGGGCACAGAACTGTGAGCAATGGGCAGGGGCTGCCCAGCTCCACAGAGCCCCAGGGGAGCTGCAACTGCCCTGTGTCTGGGCCCCACTCCACCCCCACCTTAAAGCCTGCAGCCAGAGTCCATACCCCCTCCGGCACCTCCCCTTCACCTGGGTCAGGGTCCAGGTTTTTGGTCATAGGTCTGCCTCTTTTCTTTCTGACTGGCTCTTCCCCAGGGGACTCTTTCCACCGCTGACCACGGGGCTTCTTATTTCCTGGCTCTGTAGCAGAGGCAGCTGCAAAACCAAAAGACCTTATAGGTTTTTTAGGAGGCCATGCCTGAACCCCAAGACCCCAGGGCTCTTGAGGATATCTGCTCAGGACACAGGGTCTGTGCCTCACACCATCCCCCAAACCCCCACCCCCACAGAGCCTCCTTGGCTTCCCAGTTGACTGACCAGGAAGCTCCAGGAGGGGGCGGAGTCCCCTGGGACGGATCCTTTTGGGGAGGGATGGGTTGTCCTCCGGGTCAAGGAGCACAACGATCTCGGCTGGCATTCCTGCAGAGTCTGGGTTGGAGTCTGGGTCTGGCTCCACATCCCGGGCTGATTCTGAAGGGGGACAGAGGCCCAGTAAGCTCTGGGTGCCCTACCAGGTCCAACCTCTCTTTCCACCCTCACCCTAGGCCCAACTACCTGAGCTCAGTGGGGACGGCTGCTCAGCCCTGACGTCCTGCAGAAGGGCCACTCCCTCGCCCCAGGCCTCCAAGATGTTGCTCTTCTCGGAGGGGCTCAGGTCCAGGGTATGGGGGTGCTGCTCCAGAATGTGTGCACGAGCCGTGTCGGCTGATGGGGACCGGATCTCAGCACCACACACCATACACAGCGCCCGCCCGCTACCTCCAGGGCTGTTGCCCACCAGGAACTCTTGCTCCCAAGACAGCTGCTGCTTGGGCTCCTCACAGCCATCACTGCTGGCCTCTAGCAGGCTGGCTCTAGGTGGTGGGGTCTTCTCCTGTTGGGTCACTGTGGAGGGAGAGGGGAGCATGTCATCAAAAAAGGTGCCCAGGCCAATAATACTTAGTATTTGAGTCCCCAGACTTTGTGGCTTGTGTGACGCAAGGGAGGGGGAGCATTCCTGTCCACAGTAGAGGTCCCAGTCACCCTGAACACAGCCTGTGTGCCTGGAGTCCTGCTATGCTGGCCTCTGTACCCTCTCTCAATCTAGTCTTGAACCTCACGACAATATCCATTTTTCCAACAGGCTCTGTTCCTGCAGGTCTCCACAAATCTGACCAGTCTGGGTGATGTCACCCCTGCAAAGCCTTCTAGAACCCCCCATCCAACAGTTGATTTCATCAGCATGTTACTTTTAGGCAGTAGTGTACACTTTCTTGAGGGTGAGTACAGAAAATAGTGCTATCTTAGGAAAGGCCGCATTCCCCCTACCCCCAGAGCTGCTGGCCTGCCTTCTGCAGTGCTCTCGGACACTCTCCCACCTATCTGTCACCTGCTCACCATGCACCTGAACAGGGTAGGGCCCCTTTCAGTACAGCAAAGGTGGTGACCTCAGACCCATGCCAGCCTAGCAGCTCAGCGCTTCTGCGACGCACCTATGATCTCTCATGGCTGTCCCTAACTCCCAGCTTCCAGAGAGGATGGGAAAAAATATAAACATGGGATGTGGGAAGCCCTAACCCCTGGAGGCTGTATGGAAGAGGTAGCATTCGAAATAGATATGAGCCTTAGCTTGGACTCAAAAAATCTAGGTCTGAGTTGGGTCCTAATTATCTCCTGTGCAGGAACCCCGACCTCTCAGTTGCAATCTGCTTTTTTCCCCACCACTTTTCTCTATTCTCCAAAATAGCCCTTGCCAAGGTCACCAACACTAAACCCAGCAGTTAATCCTTCAATGTGCCAATCACCTTCTCCACCTCAATTTTCTTTCTTTTCCTTTTTTTGCAGACAGTCTCACTCTGTCACTTGGGCTAGAGTGCTATAGTGTCAGCCTAGCTCACAGCAACCTCAAACTCCTGAGCTCAAGCGATCCTCCTGCCTGAGCCACCTGAATATTTGGGACTACAGGGCATCCGTCACAATGCCCAACTAATTTTTCTGTTTTTAGTAGAAACCTAGTCTCATTATTGCTTAGGCTGGCCTTGAACTGCTAAGCTCAAGTGATTCTCTCACTTTGGCCTCCTGCAGTGCTAGGATTACAGGTGTGAGCCACACC